GCACCCATCCTGCGGCCGCTGGCCACCGACGGCGTGGCTGGCCCCAGAAGGTGCCACGCGGGAGAAGCCAGGTTCGGAAATTTCTGAGGTTCCAGATTTTGATCTGAAATCCTCGGCAGAATATCCTCATAGGTGGTTCTTACCACCCAGCGGCCCGGACCTGCCGGGGGCAGCACGGGAGAGGCGGCCTCCTCGGACACACACCAGAGCCCCGTCTCCAGCCGCGGCTCTCCTGTGGACGGGCGAGAGCCCGGCGAGCCCGGCATGGCGCCACGGGGTGGGGTGGGGTGGGGGAGACGCGCGGTCGGCCTCGCCCAAATACACTGGATTCCCACGGACCTGGCGTGGGCGGCCCGGGGGGTGACGCCACGGGGTGCTCAGGACGGTGCCGACAGCCTGCAGGGGACGGTCGTCCTCCCGGCCGACGTGAGTGACGCTGGTCTCTCGGGGCGAGGGCCCGGAGCTGGCGCTGCTGGGCCCCCACCTGCTGCTTCTTAGCAAACCACCTGCCTCCCTCCCTGCTTTCTTCATGTTTGTTCATACGCACAGAGGCTTATTTTTGCAAGTGAAGCACAGGCTGAGGCCTGGTGGCCTCTTCTCAGCCACTGCACCTGTGTCCCTGTGCCACGGAGGAGAGCTGCCCCCCTGACCCCCAGGACCTAAAGCTGTGGACAAGGACGTTTCCATGCAAAGTCTACTATGTTCTTCAATAAATGACTTCACATGATGGTGCCAAAGCCCCAAGAAGGAGGCTCCGAGGGGTCGGTGGCCAGTTCCTCAAAACCCCCTATTCAGTGGGAGTGGGGGGAGACACCCCGGGCCTCAAGACACTCTGGGGGCTCCTGGCCCGCACCCCGTGACGCCGTCTTGGGGCAGAGCACCCGTCGGAACCCACGGGCAGACCACGCGCCCCAACTTGGACCAACGTGGTATTCCCTTGCCAGAATTTTTATTTGCTCTGGACTGGTCTATCGCTGCTGCGATAGGAGTGAGAACACGTCGGGGCAAATGCCTTCGGCGTGTTCCAGACCCGACACCCAGAAAACACCGCCGGGCCCGTTGCTGCAGTACTGGCTCAGTTTCTCGGGTAACGAGTCCTGAGGCGGAATGCAAACGGCCTCCCCTCTCCTCGTAGACGGGGGAGAAGACCCCAGTTTAAATCAGGAATCCCCGAGCGGCTGCGGGCAGCGCCCACCCTCACTGGCACCACACCGAGAGCCGCGAGCGGCGAGCCGCGCTTGAGCGACCGAGACCCCGCGGCCGACAGCGCCCTGAGGAAGCGCGCTACCTGAGACGGGGCTGCAGGACACGGGCGGCTACTTACGAAGAGCTGGAGGAACTTGAGGATCCTTTTGTGGGTGAGTATGTAAAGTGCGTTCCCACTGAGGGGGTCGATGACCGGCAATCTGTGGATTTTGTTTTTGATCAGCGAGTGCACCGCATCGAAGAGGCTGCAGGGAAGCCACAGGGGCGTCAGGGGCGTCGAGGGGCGGCTGCACCGCCTGCTCGACGTTTTCACGGCTCTAGGGAGGCTGCTCGACTTAAGCGGTGTTTCGGGAGAATCTTAAATTGCAGAGCGCAGCCAACTGGCTCATTTTCCGCCGTCTGTGCTAAGAATCTCAAACACAGCGTGAGCCACGCCTCACCGGGAGGGCAGCCTCCGACGCGCTGGCCTGACTTCGGGGG